CAACGATTCGTAAAGTAAGTATATAGGTAACTGTCTTTTGAACTGTTATACATAGAATATCTGTTTGATATAATGTCAAGCAGTATGTTGAAACTACGAGATAATGTAAGAATCATACTGATTCTGATACTAATGTTGCTATATTGAGTGAGTTTTAAAATTGTTTCTTTTTTAACAAGAAACTGCATGCAGTTATATGCTTTTAATGCAGGAAATGAGTTGCTAATGCTAAACAAAGTATTCATAAACTTACGAAAGCGGGTTAACAATTTTATTCCTTCCTCTTCATGTGTTTCCACTCAGATGATTCGATATATGACGATCATATAGCAACAGACTATACATTGTTATGTCATCGTTAAAATATTTACAAACTACACAAAGGTATATAAATGACATGACATGGGAATCCATGCATTGTATTAGCAGCATATCTATGTCTATAAAAGGATTTTAAACAATAACGTAGAAGAAAGAAAAAAGTGTCATTGAAAGAAATGCTTTAAGGGAACGAAATATTTGATGAAACTGAGTAATAATAAACTGAGTTTTAATAATGGGCCATTTTTACCATGCTCATAAACATATGTAAATATAATATTTAAATTATCATTGATTATAAAGGAAGGGGAGCGTGTGAAAAGAAAGAAGAAACAGAGAGAGATTAATGGAGAGAAAGAAGAATATATATATATACATATATGTAGTATATACATATTTAGAGAGAGAAAGAGAGAGGGAGAGAGAGAGAGAGAGAGAGAGAGAGGAAAAGAAATAGAGATTCAGATTCAGATTCAAATTAATTTTATTGGTCCATTTGGAAATTCAGTTGTTGGCATTACATAAAGCACATGAACAATATACAAAAATAGATAATACACAGTAGCAAATGTACAATGACATAGATAGAGAGAGATAGATATAGAGAGAAAGGAATAGAGAGAGGTTGATAGAAAGGAGAAATGGAGAGGAAGAGAGAGAGAGAGGGATAGGGGGTGGGATGAAGATATAAAAAAAAGAGAGAGAGAGAGAGAGAGAGGGAGAGAGTATAGAATGGGTGAAGATAGAGAAACAGAAAGAACGACAGAGACAGAGACGGAAACAAAGTAAAAGCAAGAAGAATCTATTTGGGAGAACGTGTTCGGCAACGGAGCCCTTTTGATACAAGTCACTCCATTGTGACACGGACGCACGTGACAAGCAGTAAATAATATTGTCAGAGGATGAACTGACTCTGACCTAAAAAAAACTGCTGCATAATCCAGTATGCCTTGATTTAGATTGTACAATTGTTTGATCTCATTATTAATTTGCCGATGTCCCTGTCCCCATGCGTTTGGCGAGCACTGTCCCAAATATTTGTTAAAGGGTACGGTTACTTTGTCTCAGATTCTGAAACAAAATCCTGGATTTAGCTCATGCTGCTATGACAATTATATACCTTTATATTCATTCAGGAACCCCATGAATTTTACAAGCCGATCGCCTGTCTGATTATCAAGATATTTATGATAGGAAATCAAAATTTTAAAATTCGTTTCCTAACGGTTCTTATTACACTACAGTCAATTGGAGTAAATGAGTTTGGTAAAACCGGTCAGTCAAAGATTTTTACTTTTTCGAGGCACTTCATGATCATTTTGAAGCGCATGCATCTCAGATCTAACATTGTTAAACGATGCATTTAAAGTCAAGTTCTTGCTAGCATATGATTCGTCACTTCATTTTGAAAGGGGCACAGTTTGCATATTGTGTAATGAACCGTCTATCTATGATGTCAAATGTTATCTTCATGTCAAATTGTATGATTTGATAGGTTATTACCGGTTATACATTCTCTTCTAAGTCCACTCACTCTCTCTTTCTCTACCCCCCTCTTTTCTCCCACATCTCACTCCCTTTGTCCCCATTCACTCTCTTCTCCCTTTCTCTCTCTCTCTCTCTCATTTTCCTCCTCTATTCTCCGAACCATTTTTTTTGTACATACATTATTATATTAACTTCCCTACATGATTTCCCATTTCTGAAATCGAAGATCGTTGTCTCACTGTATTTCTTTTATATTTAATTATTCGCTGTCCACATCATAACTCCACGAAGTAGGCAGTGAGATCACTGAACACTTCCTTTAAAGCCTGTCTGTACTAGTTTGGCCAGAAAGGATTAGACCACCCAGCGTGGTCACTGACAGGTCAACTCAGCTCTCAATTAACATAAGAAAAAGAGGATCATGGGGGACCAACAGGCACCGATTGGGGAAGTTTTCTACATAGAGGGAGCAAGTAGCTACAAATAGTACAGAGTGGCTTTAAAGGTTGATCGTTCCGTTTCCCGATCAATACCCAGGAATACTTTGGGATGAACTGACGTAATAAAAAACAGAAGGCAATCAATTTCCTGACGAATGCTTTTCCCACCCCTGATCGCCTCGATAACACTAAATAGTACATAGTAATAACTCACAGCCATGGAACCCCACGGTATTTAACCCATCAAGTTTATTTTGGTCACGACCATATCCGACGCTCCTTAAAGAGTTCGGGCTATTTTTAGGAGTCTATGGTTTGCTCTATTTGACGTAGGTAACTAATTCTAAAGCCGGTAGAAACCCTAACAGACCGGGTGATGTCTCTGAGTCAGCCCCTGTATACTTGACCCAGGTGGACCCACGTGTTAACTAGAGGTTAAAGCCGACAAGACGATTGCCAACACATTCAAGAAATTAACATAAGCCTGGGGTAATTTCAATACTCTATTGTATTGTGTATATAAATTGTGTAAGGATTATGTGTTGGGTAATTATCATGTTAGCATTCATCGATATGTGAAACACAAGGATACCGAAATTTGTTTTAATTAAAAAAAAAAAGGTTGTTGAGATCGTGTGCAACTTTGAGAACTCGCAGTAAAGCTTTATTTCAAGAAAACGTTTTAAAAATTCGCATAACCATGTAATCTTTACAAGAACTCAGTGGGAAAGCTTATTCCGTTTATATTTAAAAATGAAGCTTTATGGAAGAAGAATACGACATACCAATAGCAATGGGGATGCCATACACGGGTATGTACTCACGGGGGCATTGTTTGAGGTAAACAATAATAAATGTAGGAAATGTTGTACTCGATACGCAAAATATAGTGGACTCTTCTATGCTTCGACAAATTTGGCCCACTATTTCCTGGTACTTACTTTATGTCCGTTCAATATGTAAATATGTAAATACTCCTTCTTTAACACGCAAATTCGAATTAAAATTCAAATGTTATTGATTTCAATCCATTTCAATACATGTTGTCACCGAATTGCATTAAGGAATGGTGGGGGGGGGGGGGGGGGGGTGAGGCGCAATAAATCCCAGAACTCCGCATCTCCACTCAAACGGTCAACTACTTAGATCTTTCTACATTACAATGCTTGTGTAGAAAATCGAAATTTGAATACCTGTCCGCAAAAGTACAAAAACAATCAGTTTATCTCTATAAACTCGATAAACATTTGGAAGAAATGAAACAGGTGCTAGTTTATTATCAGGTACTTTTAAAGAAACTAATGGTTTAGACTTGATTTTGTGTTATAAAAGTCACGTCAGTATAAGAATTAAAAACAAACACACATACATTTGTTTGTAATTAATGTGATACAGCCCTAAATTATCATGGCGGAAAAAATGTTCCCTATTGTATATACATAAGGGCGCAAGTATATAAAGTGATCGTACATGTTCCTTCTCCCTTCTCGAGTATGAACCATCTAACCGATATGTTATGTATCCTATGAAAAGAGAGTCTTGTGCTTGGACTTTTGGTACAATTTTGTCACAAATTCTTCGAAAACCCACCTTAACCTCTTCCTTCCATCTGGTAAACAAGTAATCACATGAGGTTCACTCACAACTAGTATTGTGTGTTGATTTTTCATCTTTAACCGAACTTGGAAGTCTTATAATTTTGATTTCACCTGATCTGCCATTCTTACATCACTCAAGACTGTAATTAAGCTTTTCCTCACTGTGTGAACCCTTTAAGACTGGTCATATTAATCAAGCGTTTTGGCGTATCAAGACACAGGCGTAAATCCGCTCTTTCCGCAGTCCAAACTTGTCACTTCGCCGGTCTCGGCATGTAAGTTGCGCTAATAGGAGAGGCACCCAGCAAAGTCTCTGCTGAAATTCTGTCGTAAATACTTCCAAGACACTTGTCTCCCTAACAAACTTTAAACGAGCCTCCCACGATGTCTGAATTAACAATTAAATCAAGAATAAATCAAACACATAAATGAACGTTATATCCTAAAAATTAACTGGGGAGGGGATATAATGTTACAGACTGCTGAAAGCAGTCCTATAATTGTGTTCTTCTTAAACTGTTGTAAAAGTCTACAATGTTTTCCTGCAATCAAATTTACTGATATGTTTTACAAAAACATTTAAAATAGGTAAATAGGCTATAAGGCCTACTTTAAACTGATAGGGAGTACGCCGCCTCTGATAGTATTACGATTATTAGTATACTTGACTATTGCCCACAGAATTTGCCAAGCTCAATGCCCTCTCGAAGACTTTTCTTGTTTTTCCGAAAATGTTGAATTATGAACACGTATTCATAACAAATAATTAAAAATTATTTGTTTCTGAATGCGTAAGGCTGTCTACTTGATGATGATAGCATTAATGTATTAGAACATTAGATGTAGTGCTTTAAATTCATCATCCGCAACAACAACATATTCTATGTGAATTGTATGCGGCCATGAACATGAGGAATCTCTTCTACATGTTATAATGATTGACTCCTTTCATTCTTATCAAAATCTTCGTATTCGAATAACATACCATACTTCGCAGATCCTATTAAAGGCCCTTCAACACTTACACTGATTTTGTACTAAGATATTCCATGCATTTATTCGTATTTTTCCCTACTAATTTACCAATTTGAGATGGGAAGAAGTAGAATTAAGTGGAGTTTCCAATAGGTCCCGCCCTTAAGTATGAACATCCTTTTGTCGTGTTTGTTGTTTTCGTAGTATGTAAAGTACAGGTACACACACTATTACTAAAATGCGAAATATTCCTCCATATTAGTGGACCTTTGGATTGTCGTTGAGCTTCTTCTTTGATCAGTTTCAAGAATCAATCAAGTTGTTGAAAGTAGTATTTATATGATTTTGAGGATCTCGGAAATAAAAAAAACTACAATGGGATGTCATGTTCTGGTGTACTCCATTTGCACATTAGTTTGCTACACATACGCTGTCTGCAGTGAGTATTTTGATAATTTTCGTTTTTACTTAGAATCATGACCTTACGCCTCTTGTTTTCAAGGTGTTGGGCCATAACCAGTACCATATTTGTTCTGTTACATTAATGTGTGTTGGTGTATTGTGTTTCGGGGGTGTGCGGGAGTGAATGGAGTCCGATTCCGATCCTCATTTATAATTTAGTGGGTAAACTCGTTCTCCTCTGCATATCACAAATGGAAGACCCTTCACCAATTTCTTCCTCTTCTCTTTTGATCCCTGACTTGTTTGATTGTTATGAAAGTCATCTGAACTCATCTCGGCATTTCCTAAGTCTGAGAACATTTCTGTTAGCTTGAATGTTATGGTGGGAAAAATATTCCAACCCGTCTATTCAGAATGGTCTAGCGTCGTTTTTGTGTGTACACAGGCAGTCTAATGCACTTAAATTCTGGTTTACCAAAGCAAATTCTATTGAAAGGTTTTGCTTTCCCTTTGTTTTTGTGTTTCAAATTTATTTCAAATCATTGCTTACCTCAACTTTATATTGCTAATATTTCCTCCTCGTTATTTTCTCCTTTTTTAATTGAATTGAATTGAGACAAGAAAAACATTATCGAGACCACGAGACAAACGAGTATGTTCACCTTTGTGTAAAACTTGGGGTGCAGCCAGAACTATCTGAATTATCTGTTTAGACCGTTGCTACCTCTGTGGCCCTTATGTGGACGTGAGATAAAAGAAACATACGTAGGACCACAACCATAATAGGACCAACCAAATTACGTCAGAGGCTGTTGATGAAAGATGATGCAATCTGACTGTTGGGGTAATTATGTGGGCCCGATATTAAAGCACCAATTAATGAAAATTGTGACGTAATTCCTTTTAAGTTCAAATTGGTCATGAATTTCTTGTGGATATGTCGAAGTTTAGTTTTTTGGACAATTCACTTGGATGTTGGTTTACAATTACTACTTTCTTCTTGTTCGTTCTTGTTGTTGGACCTGTTGGTGCAATATAAGACCGTGTTTGAAAAATAAGTCAAACTAATTTTCTTTTAATTAATGAGGGCTCTGTGATCTACAGATAGGGTTGAGTGATGGTGAACAAATGTTTTGTGAGCTTTCTCTTCATCATGTCTTTTTTTTTTAAAGAACTTCTATATAAATGCCTTCACATTCGAAATCTGAAGAAAATAAATAAGCCTAGTTGAAAAAGTTTGGACCAAACTTCATGCTACAATTTTTTAGTTAGAAAAATGTGATTTCCAGCAATATTGAGTCAAATTTATTATGATCATTTTGATGATTATAAAACCTCACAGAGCGCTTAGCGACTTCGGTGGTATTATTATTAAGAGTATAAACCAATACTAAATAGTGTATCGTCATCCTTTCCCACTTGTTTGAGACGGTTTCTTTTTCTGTTAAAAATGATTGTGTGGCCAGGACTCAAAATTTATCTTCACGACACAAAGAGACAACTTGATTCGTTTGGTCTACCCTTTCAAGACAACCATCCGTTGAAGAAGAAGAAGACATGAAATATCATAGGAACTTCGAAGCACAGAGGTTGATGGAAGTTCACATAGATAGGAACTAGGACTTCAGGCGCATTATAATCATAACGCCTGTCTATTTCGCTGCTATTACGTGTGTGACATAGTCATATCGAATTGCCATGACTCATCAGGCAAGGGAGGAGCATCTAACATATCACTTTCTGATAATTGCACGTTGCAACATTTCGGTTTGTCACCCCTCTCTTTCTCTCTCTCTCTCTCTCTGGTTCTCTCTCCTTGTGTGCGTCTCTCTCTATGTCTCTCTGTCTCTCTCTGTCTCTCTCTTTGTCTCTCTCACTCTGTCTCACTCTCTTTATCTCTCTCTCTATCTATATACCTTTCTCTTTCTCTCTCTATCTTTCTTTCTCTCTCTCTTTCCTTTCATTTTGTTTATATTAATATTTTAAAGTGACATTGATAACGGTAATGATTGAAATGATGTCATGTATGTAATTTTCTTAAAAAACATGCAAAAGTAAGCTTTTTCTAATACCATTTTCGTTAATTAGACATTATAAATCAATGAATTTAAAAGCAATAAGAAATAAATGTGTAAAAATCCCACAATTCATCTGAATTCAACTGCATATATTTCATGAAATTAGTGATAATGACTACCCAAAACCTAGTTTCTTTAAGATAATATGAAATACTTAATGTGGCTCAGGATCCCCAAATGGGGGTGTACAGAGATGAAAGTTTTGAGATTTAAACTTTGTTTAAATATAATTTTATACATTAAATCATTATCATTGTTGCGATGTGAAGAATGTGATGCTATACCCGATAAAGAAAGAAGCTGTCCTGACATAGCTCATGGTCGAAATTTCAAGCTTTCATTTAGACCCACTTTTAGTGTCAAACAGCTTCAAAGCCAATGGCTTTACCCGTTTTTAATCACATCGATGCAAAAAGCTCTACCAGGCTATTTACATACACGCTGGTTGGCTATTTTAAGTTTACACTACCTAGCCCATGTTTACAGAAGTTTTATTTGAACTCCTGTTTTCGCGTACATACGTTTCTCGATTACAAGTTCATGAAAGGCAAAATAATCAATTGACTATTACTGTAATAATCACTAGATAATAAAAACTATTAGATAAAAAATGTATTGTTGATCATGATGTTATATTCTGTTCCTTACTAGTAGGTATGTTAATGGTATTAACCAATCTTTGTATTGTATACTTTAAGACTAGATAGTTGCGTTAAAAATAATAACGATGACGGGAATGGGGTGACATTATATGACTCGCTTAATGCTTGCAAACAAGTAAGGGGGATTTTCAGACTTAGGTATGCGCTGTAGTTTGACATTATATCGATCTCATGTCAACCAACTTCCAACAAAGTCCATTATTTCTTGGCATACCCCCTTAATCTTAATATAACACAGTGGTTAGTCATGGTTGCGTTCTTACTGAAATAGCATAGACCTAATTCAATTGATATTTCAACTCCGATACGCCCTCGCTTTGTCTTTGCGTGGCTTGTTTTAGCGACACCTGGTGTTGTCAGTATATTAAAGGAAGATGGAAGTCAGGTTCCAACTGCAGTAGGTCACAATTCGTTGACACCATACTTGGTGGAAATACCATTAACGGGTGTACAAGTCTCACCCACAGCAAACCTGTGATCCTTTCCGAGAGTCTTCGTTGGGGGACATGTAAGATCCTGACTTTTCCATATAATATAGGGCGATTGGTGGAAAATGCAGAGCATTACGTTGCACACACATAGTGCTTTTGATCTTTTGATGTAAACATGTATTTATTTTTATATATTTTTCCCATTTTCCATGTTTTTCTTTATATATGTTTTTGAATGCTTTTTTAAAAATATAATTGTATGTATGATGTACACTCGCATTTTTAGTCTTTGGACTTTTTGACGAGATTGAATAAAGCCTAATTTGAATTGAATCTAACTGAATATCAGAACAACTCATTTTTAATTTGAAAATATTTGTTATATAATCTGGATTTTACATGATATAACGTTGACGTTAATTCCAGGTAAAACGGATAGTCATTTTGAACGGCATGACTAATATTATTATTATGTTTTTAATTGAAGGCTAACAGTGTAGCAGCGGTAAATTTATCAGTTTTACCAGAACCTCATTTTTCCCCTCGTGGGGTCGATACTAATTAATTGATTCACTCCCAAATTCTTTAATCTCAATCAACAGGCAGTGCACCCAACTCTGATGGAAAATCAGACCACTTAAAGTCGAATATTGCGACGGCACAGCACTTCAGGAGTTCAAAATCGTCAACATGGTCAAACGCCAAAACCGGACTTCGTCTAACGGATCTTGCGCATACCGAGGATGACGACAACGAATACTTAAATCACATCATCAAAGCACTATCACTGAGCAGACGAAGGCGAGACAGCAGCGAGGAGTCGGATGCTGAATCTGAAGTCGAGTCCGAATCGGAGTCATCCACATCAGAATCCGGATCCGAAGTGGAATCCGAAATGGAATTGGATTATCCCCTGCCGCACCTAGGGGGTAACCTGACAAACGGAGCGAATTCTAGATATAAGCAAAGTGGGACACTTTGGAGGGTAAACTGGGGACTGCTACCGGAAGCACTCATAGCGACCTGCTTAGTACTACATGGATATTGGATGCCGTGCTGAAGACATTTGTAAGAACTCAAGCACCAAAGCTTACCCCAAATTGGCGTTACCACCGTGCCATTGTGTAACAATAATCGGAAGTCAACCACCCCAACCTTCCAAATGTCAGAACAACGTAAACACGTTATGTGGTTAATAACATTAATAGAAAACAACACTGGTCAATATGTTTGGAGAGTAGCATCATCAGGGCAATGGCCTTTGCTACTCCCTCACATCCACCTCATCATAATGAAATCAACTTCCTTTTATAGATGTATGACAATATATGTATGTATTGTTATTTTTTTTTAAATTTAATGTTTGATGTTCTTTTTATATTTACCCCCTGCATACATCGTATTTTAAAAGAGATGGGGACTAAATGAATTTCAATTAAAGAAAAAAACAAAAATAATCAGAAATATGAATGTTAGTACAGTAATTTACCCTTTCTTAAAGTGATTTTTTGATGAGAGGGTTAGTATTTTACTTCACCTGTTTCATTATCATCTAAGGGAATGCTTTTAATGCTGAAATAGTGAATTAAGAATCATCGTCTTGGTTATGTCTATGTTTTTTTTTTTGGGGGAGGGGGTTGGATGGGGGTCTTATTTTGTGCATCGTTGCCATGGCGGTTGCTATGGGCGTGATTTTGATATTACGTCTCGTGATCATTCATCTATTTAAACATTATCCTTGTTCTGTCAACGTCATTTCAATGGGGTTTAACATGGAAGTAAAGGTCAACACAAATCTCTACTACGTTGATGTAAATAAAATTGGATCAATATCAATGAGCAATGACTGATGACGTATGAGACACGAACGACCTTTAGAATGATGTATGTCTTAAATGATTAGTTACACCTCTTGGGTTATTGAAAAGTTTAATTATGTTACGATATATGGAGATCTAAAACCGTTTATATATTTTTTTTTTTTTACTTGAATAAAATATTGATATCCATGTGATTTTTTTAGTTTGATAGAAATAACATGCCGGGACCTTGCATCACAAAGAGTTACGATTGATCCAAATGTATTGTACGTCCTCCACTTAGTCGCAAACTAACAAAGTCCTATCTCTTTAGGACAGAAGTACGATTGGTATCGAGTTTCAATCAATCTAACTCAATCGTAATTGTTTACAAAGAGGGTCGAAGAAATAAAAGTGTGGACAGTGAAGTAACTATTCATTAAACGGATTTAATTATTATTCAATATGTGTGTATATTTTTCCTCGTCCTCAGTCTTAAGTAATTTACCTAAAACATGAGTAGAAGCCAATTTTGACTCATAATTAGCAAAACAGAAGTTAATTGATTTCCACCATGACATGATCGCGAGCAAAATTTAACCCATAATTATATTATTTATTAAATTAAAGTGCATTCTTGGGTTTTGTACTGCAACACTTAGTTCAACATTGCATATCATAAATTATATCTCCAACTTCTTACAGAAGCTAATTTTCAGCCAAGAAAAACAGTCATTGGCGGTGTCAAATACCATACCACATTATAACAAGAGGCAATTTTAGAGGCATACCGTGTATTTATATATTATAAATGTCAGATCTTATTTAAGTCGGTTAACCTATTTCAGAAGTATAACCCCTCATGCACATATTGGAGAATGCTTTTATATTGTATTTATCTAAAGTGAACAAGTGACGATTTATACAACTTTTTTTTGTAGAATTACATTAAACGTACGAGTAACCATGTTTAGAATTCTCGTCATTTAAAATATGCTAATGTGTACCTTCCGTGTAATGAATTCACTTTAAACTTTTATGTTAAAGATAAAGGTGAGTTCTGGTAATGCGATTGCATTGTGAAAGAAAAGGTGTGGAATGGATCAGAAACAATTGTACATGTAGCATGTAAGTATTGGTGTGCACTGCAAGGTTCTGGAGTCATCAAAATCATAATAAATTTGGCCGAGTCTTGGTAAAGTAACAAGCAATGTACACAGAAAGCTATATATGGGACAACACACATAGTGTCGGGGCTAGTACTACCTTGATTTCCTTGTCTTTCTATGCTCATTACTCAGCCAGTATACATTTTCTTCCAAAATTGTTTGGCACATGTCATTTATTTGTAATCTTGAACATTCAGTGTAAGTTTCGTTTGATTCTGTGAGAATTAATTTTCTGTTATTTACCAGAACTGGAGTTTATCTTTAACATCTATGAAAATTACATATTATATAAAGCTGCATAATGATCTTCCTTTACATTTCTTTTGTTTCTTTTATGTGTGTGTTTCATTTAAGAGTGTATACACATAGGATGGAATATGTAACTCCTGCAATATGCAGCATTAAAACCCCAAATGTATTACATTGACTTAGCACTGATTTAGAACTATAAATTCATTACTTATACTTTATGGTTCTGAAGGTGTTTCTGGATATACACAAACGGATGAATATACATCAACATTGCCATGAAATGTTATTTTTTATTTTTGCAGACGGATTCCTTTAACTGAGTAGTAAGACAACTTCGTGCAATTTGAAATGCGACGTCTATCTTGAAATCGGATCTTACGAATATCAAATAGCAAGGAACCTTTCCCTGTCTTTTTCCTCAATCGAAATCCAAACGATAAAAAAAAAAACGTTGTCAACTTTGTGTTAATTCTCAGTCTATGTTACAATATTTATCTCTGGAATAATGGTTTAACATGTGCAGAGCATGCCATTTCGTTAAGGTTTTGGATAATAATATCTTTCGGGTCTTTTTCGAGTTTAAAATTCGAATTCATAAAGTGAAATAATAACGATTTTGCAAAGAAAAACACACATGTTGTGGGCATATCCATGCATAAGAAAAAACTGTTATAAAGGTATGTTCCAATACAATCCTTAGCACTCTAATTTTGTCTTTAAAGTTACCATTATTCATGAGTAAACATGTCGTTGATTCTCCTTGATTCTCATCACACAAGGCAGATCCACATCGTTACGGGATGAACAATCCGGCATTGATGTCTTAAGATTGTATTACCTCTACTAATCATACTTTTATTTTGTTATTATTTTCATGAAAACTTTGTCCAATTAGTTCATCTTGAATCACTTCCTTTGTAAACGATCAATGTTTAAACTATAAGACCTTTATACGTGACCAGCTTAGATAAGAATCAAATACATTATCATTTTAATCTACCTCATTAATTCAGGAAGATTATCAAAATTTAGTTTTCCGAATATCAGATTAAATTGACATTGTATACGAGTTATGAATTTGATGTTTTATTTGATCCGTCGCTTTATCTCTTAATCTACAATGTGTCACTTGACGGTGCATAGCTAATTCAGTGAAGAATTACGAAGTAGTTAATTCCTGGCGTATTCTTTACACGAACTTTGAGGTATTCATTTCATTTTTGGCCAATAAAGCGTACCAGAAACGTGTATTTATTTCTGCGAGAGAATCATGGGGGAGTTAGCACAGATTATAAAGTGATAAGCTTACTTTTAGCTTGGAATTATAACAAGCCATTTAAATGTTACAGCATGACGCATAATATGCATTATATCTGCGCTATAAGGTTTCTCAAGTGATAGTTCGAAAATTCAACTTTATAAATATGTAGTTACTGACTCATTTCATCAATCCATATGCTAAGTTTAACTTTAATCATGTTGGCAATCTTACAGATAAGAAAATATAAATTTTCCTATCTTGTGTTGTCACCTTCTCTAAAAATACAGATTTTTTTTCCCAACCATTTCTCTCTCACTCTGTATATTACGTCAACAGATTGGCATACCTCAGTTATCATCGGTTATTGTTGAAATAAATTTGTTTATTTCTTTATTAATTTATACATTTATACAATAATTTTTTTAAACATTCTTCTTCTTTTTCAAATTATGTGTTACAAATACAAATCCAATCAATGAGTTATATTAATTTGATCAATAACGATAATTTAACATTAAATCGTTCCCAAAATATGCCTCCCAAAGTTTTAATGCAAAACAAGTTTTGGATATCGATGATGTAGCAGGTTACATTCTTGTTTACCTTTTAACAGGTTCTTTTTTCGATATCAAACTTAGCATTATCCAATTTATTACATTGAAATAATAATAATAATAATAATAATGAACGTTATTTGTATAGCGCATATCACTAGTCCCTATTGGAATATTTTGGCCAATGTAGCAGACAAGAACAGGCAAAAGTCATTTATATACGATGTTCTATTCAAATTGTTGTGAATCTATAAGTTTTCGTCAATTGTATGTTTTTGAAGATTTGTTTTTACTTTAGTTTGTCAATTTCATACTAATATATGACCAATGACATAATACTGTTAAACACTGTCAACATTTGTATAACTTGGCTGAGGAAAAGCGGATCTTACATTAGAGAGCATTGTTATTACGGCCATGAAACACAACAATTAATTTTTTCGTTAATCTTATTCTTTAAAACTATTATTTGAAGTAGATTTCATCGATGTATGCTAATCTTAAGCATCGATTCTATTTAATAGGGCATCGCAACACTGATAGCCAAAACATTTGCCACATAAAATACAGTGGATCGATTCCGAAACTTTTTTATTTTTTATTTATCAATTCTAATATGTACCAAAGAGGACTGACCCTTTACTTGTACACATAAAATAAGAACAAATTAGGTCTTTAAGATCACAGCAGGCCTAGCGGTCAGAAGGGACAACTGCCAGTCACCCACTCCAGAACCCACTAGACAGGACGTTACGATACGTCTGAAGGGGAAGGGCATCACAGCCACGACACTTCTTAATTGTTATTTCCTAAATCTAGATGCAGATAATTACAGGAAGACGATTCCCTGTTGTAAATAAACGCAATGCCATGGTTGTTTGGCCTACAAGCTTAAAGACAAATGCCGTAAACAGAAACCAATCAATATATATCTCTATATGATGCCTACAGTAAAGCATTGTTTGTATCCGAATTGAAAGAAAATTGCAACTTATATCTTTTCAAGGACATTATGATACAAAGCGAGAGGTGGTATGTTATAATAAACCGGTAACATTGTTGAAGGTTTAAGACAAAACTGCGGATTTTTTAATCAAAGGTTACTTGTTATATTCTTCTACTGTACTACCCCCATGCCGAAAATCCTGAAAAATTCTAAAACCACAAAGATATTTATGGTTTTCTTTGAAGGCGTCACTGTACAACAGTAAAGTCTCCCAACCAATTTTTGAATTTTCCCAACTGTTTTTTCATGAAAATAAGAAATAAAACAGGCTTTTAAAAAACTTTCATCACTTTAATGTTTGGGACGGTATTTAGAGCAATTTCATTGCTTTGTGATGATTTACATTCACTTAAAAATAATTGAATTATAATAATATAGTAGGGGGATTTAAAGAATCGATCAGATCAGTCTTCCCACTTTGTATCATTGATAATGGTCTATTTTCAATCAAACTTTCATATTAATTTTAATTGTAGATATAGTATCGAAGTCACTACCTAAGTACCACCTTCTCTCATCTGAACAATGTTAAAAAAATCCCTTTAAAACACTGTCTATTGTGTATTTCGATGTATTTTACTTTCGTGCTAGGGTGTCTAATGAAGTGTAGTTTGACTACTGAGCAAAAACATATTCAGTCGAACCATAATTTTCAATCTTGTGGCATGATATGTTTTGTATCACGGCTTTTTTCGGTTACAAATAGACTACTTAAAAGAACATACAAGAATACATGGACGCCGATATAGTATGAACCACAAATCAAAACCGTAAATGGTACGGTCATGCATAAAGTAAATTATATTGATTCGAATTACTAAAAAAGTAATTGACCGATTGTGAATCATAACTCAAACTTATATTCTGTACTCTTATTCAAACGAAAGAAGATAACACAAAATTTTGAACAGATAAAGTTTTATTATGTATTCATTACGATCTTTAGTATTTTTACTTTTCTTATTTTAAAAGCATGTAATTAGCTCTCACATGATGGATATGAATGACCATCGGATGTGATATCTAATATTACAATGACATCAAATTTTATAAGATATAGCTGATATAATCAGAAGTATTTGCAGCACTGATTTTTCGGTCACTGATAATTAATTTTAATTAGCTAATGTCAGTAAAGGTATTTCAATGACCCCCACAAAGTGCGTTCCAAATGGATTTTAGTCTCCAATGCCAAAAGTGTACTCATTGATTACCTGTTGCACTTTATTTTACCACTCGATATATTGGAAATACGAAAGTATAATACAAATCTGTAGTGACCACGAACTTATGGTCTACCCGAAATGTAATATCGGTGGCAAAGAGTTTGAAATCAAACACGAAACTTCAACATTTAAACTACAAATAACTTCGATCCTATTGTAACAGGACTCGTTCTCAATATTGAATACAGGTTATCATTCTATTTATTATCCGGTCAGAACTAATCAGCTAATCTTTAAATCAGCTTTTCGAAGAATTAGTTTACGCATTTTTATTTTGTTTATGAACTTTCGGCGTCCAAAAGTATGCATTTTGTAATGTAATATTGAACATTTTTTCTTAATCCTGGAAAGTGGTCTAAATCCCATCTTTTCCTTCCATCATATCGTAGGGACCACATGATAATTAACCACGTTACAGGCAAACGAATGAGTGAAAAACGAGTAGGTCGCTGCGGTCATATAATCACAAACTGACAAAAAGGAATGAAAAAGAATTCGTCATTTCCCCCTACCCAAAACTCGAAGTTTGTTTCTTTCTTGCTCTTTCTCTATCCCTCTCCTTCTCTCTTTCTCGCTCTTTCTCTCTTTTTTTTTTCTCTCTCTCTCTTTAACGTACACTTTTTTCTCTCTTGATATCCCCTTCCTAATCCCCCCATGTGCGTCAGAATGCAACCGAAAAGAAGCTCACGCCCCTTTACAACTCGTGCTCGCATGTTTTAAACATAGAACGCGAGATAAAATAAGGGCTAAAGCGCGACCTTCCGACCCACGATTGGCACTCCCCTAGCCGCTAAAAGCCCCCCCTGCCGAAACAGGAGTGACGAGAATTGGATTTCCTTCCTAGGGATGATTACCGACCCCCATTATTGGTCTAGCATGAGGGGGTAGTCCTTAATGAACGAGGAGTAAAACGCGGATGGCACCAGACTAGCAAGTTGTCCCCTTAATTCTGAAGTCCGCCCATCTGTTGCAACCCGCAACGTCACCGGGTCTCTACATATAGGACGAGTCTCGCGGCTAATTGTCACCAATCGCCGTTTTGTGCTCAGGACTATAAAACATCACCATTTTGGGATACTCATCTATTTCTACTAAAGGAATCCTTCTCTTGAGATCATTTGTGTATTTTCTTTAGCCCAAGGAACATCTCTTTTCGAGCCATCCTCACAATATTCAACTTTGAATCTCATCTGTAGTACTACACACACTATTACTATGAAGACCTTCATCGCCCTACTTGCTTTCATCGGTAAGTGGGTGTCCAACTTTGGACTTCATCAATACTGCGTCATTCAATAATCATTTTGGCTCGGTTATGACACTCTCTTTATAATTATGGTTGATATCTGTATTTGTATTAAAGTTTGATTTTATAATACAATTATTTTAATAAAATTCTTCATAAGCACAGTTTTTCTATTTTTAGATTTTTAGGAATGACATTAAATGGTTCCGAGGAATTCAAGGTTTATCTATGTGATGACACTGTATCATAATGATGTTATTTCTCCAATCGAAAACCTGTTCACCAATTGCATTACATGGCTAGCTTTCGTTGGATATCTAGTGTGCTTTGTCTTTCAAAATGACAATCAGCAATGTGATTGCTCTATTTTCTTTTAAATTTAATGTTCATTCGGTGAAAGTACGAACTGCCTGTGACCCAGAAACCTTAAAATAGTTTTTTGTTTAAATCACTTCCAACCCAACCGCGCTGACAGCACGTCATGTGACATCAAAGCACGTGGTTCGGGAGGATGCGAATGATCCAGACAAAATCTAAAATAAATCATTCATAATTTGATGTGTCATAGGCCATTCTCTTGTCAAGTTTCCACAGTCAGATGACAAATAGACAGTCTGATTAATATGTTCCATTCTCATTCGGTGATCATTTGGAATTCTTTTCTTAATACAGAAGAGAGAAAATCTTCGAAACAAGACAATAGTATTCATTAATCGTCATTGCCATTAATCCATACCCCTTTCAAGATTAAAGGACTTCAAAGAGGCTGCATTACCAATTAAGATTATTTGGATTTCCTTAAATATTTGAAATAATCTTCAAATGATAACAGATATCGAATAGAGATAATGAATTTTTGTCTGTGTTGTTTGGAAATTACATAAAAGCAGATTCATTCTAAGTTTAATCTTATTCGGATTTCCTTTAAGACAGAAGTAATCTTTAAATCAGAGCAAAAAGCATTGTCTCAATATTTTTCGCCGGATCATTATTCATGTATTCGATTTCTGTCAGACATTCATGAGTAATTTCATAATGACTTCACTCTTTTCTAACAAATTTATCACATCTGTTAGAAATGCATTTTTTGCTTTCATATGTTCAGTGCTCAAAATATTTTACGACTCAAATATTGCCTTTGTCTCCTTTCGCATTATTTCTTTTTAAATCAATAATGAAACATCCATTCTTTACCATGTTTGATTAAAGTTTGATTTCATTAATGAACATCCTATAGTAGGCAATTTCAATTGTAACATTCACAGTTTCAGTTATATCATAAATCATAATCCATATCTTGACTGGACTCGTGCAGCAAAAGAATAATAGTATCAGAGCGAAATGGCTCAAATGACATCTAAATAAACATTTTTTAGCATTTTGAAAATTTGATTTAATATGATAGTGACAAAAACATTTTTTATTAAAATCATTTCATTGACTTTATTCCTTATCATATAATTATTAGTTGCTGGGAGTATGACGATAAGTTTTAGTTGTGTTTCAATCATGCTTTTTGCCTCGCTTTTTGCATTGAATATGCTATTGATCGTAAAGAGCGATCGGTATAATGACAATGCATCATTATGTGTGTAACAGTCTATCTACAAATTGACTTTCGAAACATTGCCGAGTTAACAAGTAGTGATTTATGTGCAATATGTGACGACATGTTTTGCGGTAAAACAAACTTAGATATAAATAGGTAGATAAGTAAGTGGAAAACAGGAAAAGGGGGTTTTGTGATAAGTTCAATTATAATATTCTTGACCTTGACTTGTGACGCAGGCGATTCAAGTGATTCATAAAGTCTGACAGTGTGTACTAAAACCGGCATTATAGTGACAGTTGCGTTGCCATCAGAAAGTAAAATATAAATACCATGTAACCTTTTAGGAAACTACGTCAATGAGTACAATATTGATAATGGTGAATTTATATGTCTTACGTGATCATCAAATCATGAAAAATTGATTTGTTGTTGTTGTTGTTGTTGTAATTTACAATATTTTAAAGAAAGAATGAAAGTAATGACGGCTAAGAAAGATAATTATTACCCAAATTCAACTAACATCCAAGATGGATATATTAATTTTCGGAGTGTAACAAAACGAATGCTTTCATTTAACAAAACATATTTTATGTTGTCTTTTAGCCGTAGCCGCAGCGGCACCCGGTCAAGGTGCGGGCGGATTTCCAGGCACAGATGGCACGCAATTCAATTTCGGCAACACGCCCACGGGCGGCGAGAACCCCATTGGAGCTGGTGACCCCTACGGAGCTGGTGGAGCTATGGGAGGCGGCGGCGGCATGGGAGATGGAACCTCTGGCAGTCTGGATGGTCTTGGAGGATCTAGCGTTGACATGGGTCCCTCCGATACCGGTGACACCAGCAGCGATACCGGAAGTGATGACGACGGCAGCAGCGATGATGACGGTAGCAGTGATGACTCATCAGAGGACAACAGCGGTGGCAACGGCAATGGTCTCTCCAACCTTGGTGCCATGAGCGTACAGCAGAAGAGCGGCATGGCGTTTGGTATCATCTTTGCCGTCGGGGCCGTCGTAGCAGCCGCAGGTGTCGGATACTTCGTCTACAGGAAACGTCAAAATGGCGCCACCATGCTTCAAAACGCATAAGAACTACTCACGCGCATTTAGATTAAAAAACTCTTGCCGTCTTTTCCCCCTCTAAGAAACACTGCCAACCAGAGCTGCAGATACGGCTTCAACGCTTGATCAAAGACGACACTATTCTCAAATCCCCTGGTCGTCAAAATCAGTATCAGTTTTGGCGACAGTGTCTAGGAGCTAGGACCTGACTTCGTCAACAAGAGCCGTTGATGTGCCACACAGATTATGGCGCCCTGCGTATTGGAGCGATCGACCGTTGGTCATTAACTCAAGTCCAAGGGCCAAACAGGACAATTTAATTACTCGATTTGGGTTAAATTACCTATCTCTTTCGTTTTTTGGCGAGCTTCAAGATCCTTATTGCTCGGGAATAAACAGTATAATCATAGTATTATACCACTGTTTATTCAATTAGGCCCTTTTTATCATAATAAGATCATGATGACCAACTTTCTTGAAATTGTATGTTACAAAACACAATTAAAATTTCTTTAAATGAATCCCAATGTACATTACGGACATGTAAAATCAACGTACTTTAGATACTTCTACCAATGATTTTCTTTCTAATCGTAGTTTTGTTTCCCCCACTTTATGTTGAAATTACACTTTATTTGTTAGGCCAAAAATGTGCTTTTTTACTGTGAACATTATAGATGTTTTACAGATAGTTTGATTTGGTTTGGTTTGATATCCCCGCCATATTTTAGGTTTGGCTCTTTTGTTGTCTCTTTTTCTAGTTTCATGGTTTCATTTGCTTTCAGTTTCTGAGTTGTAGTCAATTAACGCAATATATTTATCATGCTGAACGATTATTTTTGTTTTCCATTTTAACAAATAGAATAATCATTTACATAAATTATTGTATACATACTTCATTATATTCCTCATTAAATGATTTTGTCTCCATGCGCTAACCTGCGTTTTAGACAAAATCGTTTTATAGAGCTGCATTGTATTGTATGGTTTTAATAAAATAATATCTGTTTTGGAACTCTGTCTCGTTTATTGTATTTAATGATTTTTATCTTCAAATCAATTGACCCTTTTCAAGCTGGGGACGACTAATTTTCCATTCTCACATGGGTCAGCCATTTTGATTACTGATCTGGGTCGCTCAACATCCAATCAGAATTGATGTTTCCCACGTGATAAGCAACCTATTATGTGGTCGGTTGCTAGGAACGTGTGATACTTACTTTTCATATTTAATGTTGTATATGGGTGCTGGTATACATGCAGGTGTCAATGAGTGAATGGGAATGTACAAGAATAACACAGATGGAGACGGAAACACAGAATGAAAGAGGGGAGGGAGATAATTAAGAGAATGAGCGAATGAAAGAGTGACAAAGGGACAGAGGAAATAGAGAGTGGAAACGGGGACAATTTATAGTAAAAGAGAGAGGGGTAAGGGGTTTGGAAAGGGCCAATATGGGCTGACACACACGCACCCGTCAAACACAAATGTAGCATTTCAAATATTCATGCAAAATAAATCTATTGTAGGCATACTGCAACCAAATCAATATCCTAAACTCTAATTAATACTTCCGTATTGGTGCAATTGTGAGTCAATTTCGGTAGCGGAAAAATTGTTTAGCCTTGTAATGGTCCCGTGGAAGAAGGAAATTAAATTAGGTTTAGGGAGATGACACTGAACACTGATGAACCTTAAATATCACGCGGTATGACGGAAGAGAAGGAAGAAGCAACAATTGGTTTAATCCCGGACAACAGTACTCTCCTGATGAAAGTCAAGGCAAACGGAGTGTGTAGAACTCTTTCATTTCAAGATGAAATTAAGAATGCGTCTAATAACACCCTTGCTAAAACCTTTTTCCCACTTCGTTTTACCTTCCTAAAACCAGGTTTTGCTTTCCCGACTGTGACTGTGGGATCACTATGGTATATTGTTCATTTTGACAAAGACTCTTGATCTCCATATTAGTTTATGTCATATGCGTTGTGGACAAGGAAATTACGTTTAACAATAACTGCAATATGTTTTCGAGTAGAATAAGGCTAGTAGAAATATTATACGTGGGACGGACTCTATCTAAGATCAATGATAATACGAAAACATAGCATAATGGGAAGAAGTGGAATAAGCTACACGACGACTAAGAAGAAGAAGGGCTTTACATGCGAAACACTTTCACACGGCTTAGAAGTATGTATAAAATACAGATTGCTACAAAAGAATGATAACAATATTAGCTTTGGTGCAATAATTATTTTGAAGGATAGCTGAACACATTCAAACTTAGTTTTAAAAATGTGTATTAAATATGTATTCATTGCACATTTGCAATCATGGCAAAATATTTGAAGAGAAATGGCAAGATCTGCAAGAAGGTTCACAGACCCTCCCCCTTTTTCCCTTTCTGTTAATAGTCCTATCAAAGGGAAAAGGTAATCAGGATTTTTTTTTCGGGGGGGGGGGGGTGGGGGGCTCCGGAGAAGTGATTCGAGGTCTGGTCGAACAATAAATAGAGTAAATTGATCTAATCAAATTTTCTTTCATATTAAAATCAAATCCAACTTATGTTCCCCTTCCCCCCTGGCGGGTACGCATCATTCAACTCAGTAAATATTACAACTCGCAATCTCCGTTAATCTTCAAACATACATTCACACCTTTAGTCACATCCACCAAAACATATGGGCACCGTGCTTTCCAGTATGCCATACCAGAACTATGGAACAATCTTCCACAGTCTCTAAAACGTTGTCCTTCACTACATCAGTTTAAAGATAAACTCCAGTACTGGTAAAAAAAATTCTCACAGAATCAAACGAAACTTACACTGAATGTTCAAGATTACAAATAAATGACATGTGCCAAACAATTTTGAAAGAAAATGTATACTGGCTGAGTAATGAGCATAGAAAGACAAGGACATCAAGGTAGTACTAGCCCCGACACCATGTGTGTTGTCCCATATATAGCTTTCTATGTGAGTGCTTGTTACTTTACCAAGACTCGGTCAAATTTATTATGATATTGATGACTCCAGAACCTTGCAGTGCACACCAATACTTACATGCTAGATGATCAACTGTTTCTGATCCTTTCCACACCTTTTCTTTCACAATGCAATCGCATTACCAGTACTAAAGTTTATCTTTAAATCTGTTTCGATCATGCCAGTCTTAAATTTAAATTTATATAGTAAACATGTGAATTTTGTAATTGATTTGATAATTGTAATTGCTAAACGGTGAAAGCTCAATATTCTTCATGTCTTTTCTCTCTTCTCTCTCTCTCTCTCTCTCTCTCTCTATCTCTCTCGTATCTAAGCGCATAGAGACAATTTTGTAATATGCGCTATATAAGAATTGAACATTATTATATTATAGGAAGCAATTCCAACGCACGTATTCAATTTTAGACAAGACATTATTCAATTAGCACTATAGGCTCATTCAATAATGCGCCGATTTCCCATCGAAAAGGATCAGCCCTGAATAGAATTTATCGGAATAAGATGATCTCTACCCACACTCCCTCTATCCCTTTCCTCCCCCCCCCCCCCCCACCACCTTCACATTTATGGCTGATTCTTTTAACTTGGATCTTGAGAGTATGTTCAAGTGACCCCATTGCGACAAGGATTAAGATAAATAAGATAGGTATTTTGGAAGCTTAATATAATGTAAATTGTACACTGAAAACTCCCATTACTTACCATACAGTAGGCTTGATTCGGATCACTCAATAATTGCTCAACCATATTTTGCTAAATAAACACTTTCTCTAATATTTTGAACAAGTTACTCCATTCTAACAAGGATGTCATGCACAGGTTGTATACCACAATTCTGCAAGCTAAAATACAATTCTCCAGCAAACTGGCTTGATGTAGTTATTGTTTTCGGATTAATTCCTTATCTGACTGTATCTGTTCTCTCTCAAGTTTTCTCTCTCTCTCTCTCTCTCTCTATCTCCCTCTCTCTTGTTCTCTTTTTTTTAATATTGTAGAGATGAATCGCGGATTGCATCATTGAGTAATACATGTACATTTTATAAAAAATACTACTATCTTACGTCAGAAATCTTAAAAATAATATATTTGTAAAGCACTCAGAAACATTGTATAGGCCTATGTATTAATCACTGTATAAACCCAAAATATTAATATTATTATAATTAATATTATTACATTTTTTATTTATAGTATTATCATTATTATTATTATTATTATTATATACGTTAGGTATTTATACAATTTCGCCCATTTCTTTTAATATTTTGAAGAGTACGAGAGCAAAAATGAACGTAAAAACATGCACATGCCACTCCATTGTGACACGGAACCACGTGAATGGCTCCATTCTTATCATCTGAGCATCTTCGGATGACTTTATTCTGAACTGTTTAAACTGTTAAAGGTATAGACCAGTTTTGGAAACGCCCCCCCCCCCCCCCTCTCAAAAAAATTGAATGAAAGCTCTTACTACCAATCATGTGAAAGAATATATTTTTACTTATACGCGATGATACAAATTTTTCCGGAAAACCGCCTACTAATTGATATATTTGTAAATTATTATATCTATCCGGTCTGGATAGATATCACATAGTCCCATATACATCTTTTTGTACAGTGCTTGTAACTTTACCAAGACTGGGCCAAATTTCTTATAATTTTGATGATTCCAGAACCTTGCAGTCCACACTAATAACTATATGCTAGATAATCAACCTTTTCTGATCGATTCCACAACGTTTCTTTCACAATGCAATCGCATGACCAGAACTGGTCTATACCTTTAAAGGCTACATGATGGTGAATGTAATCTACAGTACTCAACTTATCATGTCATTGATATAGACTATCAATTTCAAACATTAAAATTAACCGGTATATTAACTTTACACGTTATCTTACTCCAGTTGAGGATATTGTCCCCTCAAACGGAACTAGCACACTTCTTTATAGGCTGAGAAATTGATCTCATGAAATTCAGTACGTATAACAGTACTAATTTATGTGACAAATTTCTCCTAAGATCCCCCCCTCATGTTCCTTACTTTCTCCCTCCCTCTTATTTGTTTTATCTCTCTCTCTCTCTCTCTCTCTCTCTCCTATATTTATTCCTTTTATATTACTATAAATTAAAATAAACTCAATGAGGGGGAAATAAATGTGA